TGCTTTTTTGGCTTCCACTGGTGTTGGAGGGCTTCCACTGGTGTTGGAGGCATGGCCTCACAGGTGTTGGAGGTCAACACACACGTTTACATACTTGTAAGTTTTTTGTAGTTTTACATGCATTCTATGAATATGCATGCACATATGCACATACTCATACATAGAGATACATAAAGATGCATGCTTCACACGTGCGACAGAGATATTATACATAGTATGCGCATTTTTACATATATATATATATATATATTATATATATATACATATACATATACGTATATACGTATACATATACACATATACATATACATACATACATATAATATATATATATATATACATAATTATACATATTTATACAAATATGACATTGATGCGAAGATGCACTTAAATCATGCGTAGATCCACTAAGCCATGCGAAGATGCAAAATCCTCAAAAATTCTGAAGCTATAAGCGGCGTGGCACTGGTTTTTAAGAACCGAGGGCGTATTGAGAAGGGCAATGCCCAGGTCAATACGCCCTTGGTTTTCGAAAACCGGAGGTGGATTGAGAGGAGAGAAAGCTTCCCAATTGTACGATTCCTGAGTTTTGGTATTTGGAGGGGAAAATCCCCTTTCATTACGCCCTTGGTCTTTGAAAACTGGAGGTGTATTGGCTTGGGGTGATTCTGGGCTGTTTTTGACGCAAAATCGAGAAAACAGCCAAGCCGGATGAAGAGATCTTTTTCCATCTTTTTGCTACAGGCTGGAATCATTTGAGCTGCGATGTGTTGAAACGACCTGAGATTCCACGTGTCTGTTTCAATGTTCTGATGCACCGCATAAAAGATAGAACATCACCGACTGAGCTCAATGTCTTCACTGAGCTAGTCTTGCCCCTCTTGGAGTTGCTCTCCCCTGCAACTACAGTCCACCTGGAGCCCTCCGATTTGGCACATGCTTTGAGTGCACTGCAAATGGCATATGACCTTTCAGGTGGAACTAGCATCAAAGAATAACTGCCGAGGCTTGGCTTAATAATAAACACTCGGCAGCCCAATGAAACAACGTAACTTTGCTTAAGAGGAGTCAAGGAGCCGATTGACCGCAGGACCAATCTGAAGTTGAAAAGATCTACTCCGCAGAGCAGATCGAAACCACAAGAACCGATCCAGCTTCCAAGCTTGACGGGTAGCGACTTCAACATCTGCCCGACAGGCAATGCACAAGCCCTTGGCGTAGCATTGGAGCAAGCTAGCAACCTCAGCTAACAACAACAGGTCATGTACTAGCAAATGTGAAAGAGAATTCAAAGAACACCTCGAAGCACCTCAATTTTTAGCAGGCGCTGACAGAAAGAACCTTCACAGTGCCTCTGAATTAGATGAAAACGAATTCAACACTCAGCCTGCCCAGCGTGTTCCACGCAGGCACGCTTTGTGCAAAGGTAAGCAGGGAAGCTTCACCTTCTTCTGGGATTTTAGCCTTGAGGCGTCAACCTTCACTCTTCTTTTGATGCCAACCTTCAATCCGAATCGCTCACGGAGCTGCCTTTCTAATTTCTTCTCTGCCGCAGTCAGTGATTTCTTTCTTGCTGCTGGCATGGGGGCCGAAGGGACCGCATGGACCGCAAGAACCATGTTGCCTTCTTGTGGCAATCTCCCGCATCTAGACCCAGGCTGGGCCCAATCCACAAGGGCGATGGCAACCAACATTGCTACTCCCACAGTCTGGAGATGCATCATGTTCTCACCCATGTCCTCCAACTCAGCATCGGTTATGCCTTCAAAGGACATGGTGTGCACTGGCAGGCAATGTAGCAAGAGCTTTTCCATGGGAGCTAACATTCTCCGAGCTTCAGACACAACCACGTGGGACCCAGGGGTGATGGTAGGTGTGCAATCAGATCGCAAAGGCACACGGCCCAAACTTTGGGACAAGTCAGCAACTGCCAGTCTAGGCATGCTCTTGTCCGTCAGCAAGTTCTTCCACACATCACGCTCACGTGGTAGGTGAAGAAAAAGTTCATCAGGGCTTGGCCTGCTTGGGTCTGGCTGGATCTGGCTCTCAGCATGCTCCAACTGCCAGGCTGCATGGCGCTGCTTCCATTTCTGCGACCTACTGTCGCCACCAAAGTTTGCAGCTTTGGCATCTTCCCACCTTTGCTGGCGAAGGGACTGGTTTTCCAAGACAAGCTTGTGCTCTGCAGGCAAGAGCCTCTTGCCAAGTGGGACCGCAGGACCGCTGGAGCTCTTCAACCTTTGCCAAATATGGTTGTACATGCCTTGAGCCACTTCTTCACCAACAATGGCCACATCCTGTCGAACTCCTACAAAATAGTAGCGCGGCCTGCTGACGGGCTCACCTAAATCCGTGGGATTGAGCAGGTGAACTACCACCATGTAACCCAAATCCCTCAACGTCTGCATCACTTCATCCATGCAGCGCTGTATTCCTGGAACGTTTTCCAAAACAAATGAAGCGGGCTGAGACTTGCGTACCCTGGTGACTACGGAGTAGAAGATCTTTGCTTGGTCCTCTTCAAGAAGCCTCGTGTTCACGTGAAGCATTGAAAAGGGCTTACAGCTGAAGCCAGCAACATAGAGGTCAATGTACGGAACAACCTCCTCTGCACTGTTCAGGACATCGGTATACAGGGCATGTTCAGGAGGACTATTGGCACTGATCACCTTGCGCGGGGCAGGTCCACTCTCACAGCTCCAGATGTGGCTATGTTGCACAGCCATGGCCCTCAAAGCATGGATTGGGCTTTCTACCCCGCTGCAATCTGTGCCAACTCGCAGGGGCTGGGATTCAAACAGCTTTTTGCCGTGGTCAAGCAAGTTGTCTGCTGGGCAACTCAAGGACAGCAACTGAAGGGCTGCTTGAACACGAGCCCGCATGTTTGGGCCCCAGTCATCTAACCATCTCCGAAGGTATGCAGGCAACATCAAAGAAGTGGCTTGACGCTACTGCTAAACCCAAAACAATCTTGAGCAAGGAGAAGTTTACGCATTGAGATGCAAGCAACACAAAAACTAGTTTAATTTGACGCAGCAGTTCGTCATTTGCGCATGAAAAGCCCAAGCTCATTGCACACCAAGGAACCCATTGAGGGTTGTCCTCCGTCTTCAAGTCTAAGTCGGAAAGCTGTTCCACCACAAAAAGGTCTGCATCCGAAACCGAGATGAGAGCTACGTTCACACAACCAGAAGGCAATTTCAAACTGCTTGCCTTGGGGTCCTGTAGCTTGAACAGCTGTGCCACCTTGCATGTCTTGGCCCGCACCAAATGGATTGGCAAATTTGGGTTGGTCGGAGGAAGAAGGCCACCTGATTTCGCAGCAGTTGGCTCATATGGCATATCTCCTGCTCCTCGTCTTGAAGCTGCTTGCTCATGTCCTGTCGGTCATGATATCTGTGCTTGCACAACTAGTAAGCGCACAGGGTTCAAATCGCTGACAAATAACTTAGTTCAGTTCAACATAATGGGCAAAAAACTCTTGCAGCACTTCTTGGGCAACACAATAAACAAAACATGCTGCTCTTCTTGTGGACAGCAAGATTCGTTGTCTTTTTCGGGCTGTATGCTCCCGAAACAATGAGCTGGGATGCTTGCGCTTTGCACTGCTTGATGAACTTGGATCACCGGAACTGCTTGAAGTGCTGGTTGACCAACGTGTGCCTTCGAACAGAGAAGCTGACGGAGCCGGTGGCTGCAATGGCAATGCCATCCCTTCAATGAAAGAAGGCACAGCCAGCCCTCTCTTTTGAACTTTCTCTCCAGCCTTGTTCAAACTACTCATGGCCTCTCCGTGCTTTCGCTGAAAATTTGCAAACGAACTGCGCGCGCTGCCTTTCAGGGCAGCACGTGGTTTAGCAGGCCCCTCTTGGTGCTTGAAACTATATTTGTACTGGAAGCGCCTGCCGAAGCAATGGACCCACATCTTTGCACAAGAACGGGCAAAATGAGAAGGTGCAAGCTGATGCTGCCCAGACTGGCTGTGCGAGGATTCAAAGAGTTCTCTCGCGCTTTTGGGTCCGTCTAGCGCCACTTCCAAAACAGCAGCCATTGTGCGACCACCTTCATCTCCCGGCCCCGAATGGGCAGCCAGTTGGCGGCATAACTCTCCCAAATTGCGTTCAAGAGTCGTGGTATTCGTTTTCAAGCCCAAGTAAAAAACAATCATAGACGCAAGGTCGGTCATGTGCTTGAAAGACTGCTTTGGAAAAAACTTGCACCGCCATTCAGGCAAAAGGACCAAGGCCCAAGCTTGGCGGTTTGGGAGCTTTCATGAGTTCATGTTGGCTGCTTGCTGAAGTTTGCAGAGCATCTTGGCACAATCCGCAAACTCTCTGACCAACCGCTGGTTGAGTTTCAGGATCTTGGCTAGGCCCTCTGCAGCGCTAGAAAGACTTGGCCGTTTCGCTGCGTCTCCCCACTGCGGCAAGTCAAAAGCCATCAGTTTGTGAATAAGCTCATCACCAGTCAGGTCTACCTGCACCCTCTCAAGCATGTCAGCAACAATCTCCCTCATTTCGCCCATGATGTTGCGGATATCTTGAATGGAGGCCCGAGTGCAGAGGTAATGTACTTTGGAACCATAAAATATCCTAAGTAAGCGGCAAGGCCGAAGTTGAATTTGAAGTGCAATAGAGGTTGAAGGGCATCTGATTCTCCTCGATCGTTTGCTACTAAGAGAACATAATAATACTATTCTGTGATTACGGCCTATGCTCAGGCATATCTAACTGCTGATAAGGCTCGGCTCTGGTGTCTCTATCTGCTCAAAAACCGTTTGCGTCATTGAGCGGCCATTTTGACCGTCAGAAGCCAGTGGAACTTGCTTGGCATCTCCCAGCACGTAGCCCTCAACAAACAAGAGCCGCATCCTTTGGCAAAAGGCATCTACTATTCCAGAAGTCTGAGCGGGGTCTGGATCATCTACATCGAAATTCTCCCGGAGAAAAGCGAGGCACTCTGTAGAATAATCACAGGTTAACCCACATCGAAACATGTTTTTGGGCGTCATGTCTTGCAATGCTGCTTGGGCCCTTGCGCGGACTTCTTTGGAGCCTCTTTCCTCACTAGACGCGTGGCAGTGGGCTTCAAACCCTGAACGAAAAAGATGAAATGAAGAAAGCAAGAGGTGTTCCTTGAAAATTCTCAACTTACAGGCCATGAGCAGCAAGGCACATCTGCCGCTTGCATCGCGCAGACAGCGGCAGTGGCCCTCAGCATGCAGCAATACTTCATCATGGGGACCGCCGTAGAATCAAATCTCTGCTTCGCAAAAGAGAATGTGTGCATTACCTTATCCACTTCAAGCATGACCGAAGCATCAGAACACGCAGGGGCTGCAGGGACCGCATGGACGGCATGAACCGCTTGAGCGCGGAGGAGAGCTTTTTGGGCTGAGATCAACCTTGACTTCCACACTTCTGAATTCTGAATGTCAGGGATCAGTGCGTGTTTGGCATTGAAGAGTCTATCCCATTGTTGCTTGAAATGGTCATTGGCATGGAGAGGATCTTTACTTGCAATCCTCACTTGATGAGCAACGTCACAACTCACCCAAACGAAGTTGCAGAGCTCTGCCTTCCTAGACAGCAACTGACCGCATTTGTGGGCACTACCTCCCTGGTCAGAAACGTAATGTTGGACTTTGCGACAAATCTCATCAAACAAGGCCTCGTCCACGTTGTTGTCAACATCAGCACAGCTCTGTCTCAGTGCTTCCATGACAGTTTGGGCCATGCGTTCACTTTTGTCCGCATCGTGCGACGCAATTGTATTTGATTTCACGTTTCCACCAGATCGAATGACTGCAAGCACCCCATCATGAACCGGGGCTTTGAGTGCACACCAGTCCTCCAACTTGGAAGAAGAGTTGAGAAAAGGCAGGTCAAGCTTTTCCTCCTCTGAACATGCTGCAGCAAAGGACTCTGGGGAATCATAGCTGCACCTGTAGCGAACCAGACGAAATTCAGCTCGATCATCGACTGATATGGAAATACTTGCCGCAGCCTTCAACCGCTTCAACCGCTGGGACCGCAGGACCCAAGCCATGACTTGAATCATCCGAGACAGGCCTTGGGCATCACACTGACTTGCATTCTGATATTCTCAATCAGTTACTATGATGAAATCTTGGGCAATAATAGATTATTATTAAATTACAATAATTAATAATTGTAGTTGTGTTGTGCCACTTAGGGATGGGTTATATGCAACAAGGAAAGGAAGCCAGTTGCCATTGCAAACAGGAAACTCCTGCGGGTAACACTGCATTTGCGCCCTTAAAATCCTCAGTCTCATAATGCTTCTCTGCCTTCAGAAAGCTGCTGGCGTTTCTGCAGGCGCTCCATGATCGGAGCCAATCTGAAGCCTGTGGCACTGAGCCCCGGAAGAGTGTTTGGTCATCCATGTCGTATGGAAGGAGCTCACTGACAGGTCTGTCTGGCTCCAGAAAAAGATTCGTCGCAATGCGGTGAACAGTTCCACGCGAATGCTGATGAATGCAGCTGGATTGCATACACTTCCTAAAGGGGGGGAAGTAGACAACAGAAAAGGGCATTAGGCACTGAAAGCCTCTGGGAATGCTGGCGCAGAATATTAGTCAATAATCATCACGGGGTTTATTAGTCAAAAACTCTTATTAACAAAGAAAAAACGTTTGTCCTGGAACGCACTTCGAAAGCCCCCCATTTCGTGGATAGTCGGCTGCCTAGCCTTGGCTGCAAGTGGTTGTGAAAACATCCAATCAGTTTACTGCAGCTTGCATCTTCTAGCACCAAAAAAAGCTTCAATCAATCAAATCAGTCAACAATCGCTTGCGCTGTTCTGGATCTTTTGCGAGCACGCTCATCAAATGCGCACAAAAGAGGCATCCTATAGCCCATGGTCCCTCACGACGTGCTGGCCGCTCGGCAAGCCAAATAGTTTGCACTGGTTTGCCCCAACACTTATGCCGCAAGCTACCAACAGAAGCCCATTTCTTTTGAAACTTCAGGAGCCTTTCAGGGCATCCCAAGCAAGAAAAACTGTGGATGCAACGCTTTGGCCAAACAATTTCAACCCCTTGCCAACACCTGCCTGCAACGTGCACAAGATGAACAAGCATCAGTCCCTTGGTGTGCAGCTAAATGTGCTGTGGATGAGTCCGCAGCCAAACCCACGAGTTGCCAGTCTCGGTCCACTGATTCAGCAAGGGTCTCTGAGGCATCTGTGACAGCTACTGCTGGATGATCACTCCCAGCTGCAGCTTGCCCAGCTCGAGAAGAAGCTGGCTTGACACTGGCTCTCCCACGACCATTGCCTTTCACAGGCCTTGAAGGTTTGATGCCAGTGCGGGCTCCTTTTGGAGGTTTTATGCCCCAACGAGCTCCAAGATCGGTCTTGCCCATCAAAAAAAGTTTGTGCGCCAAAGTTTGTCATGCCAATGCTGTCTGAATTCCCAAGATTGCTAACGGTAAGTCAAATAATAATTTTGATGACCCCACGTTGTCTGGAAACTGCATCGAATATGAAATTTATCTTTTCAAACAGCTTGAAGGACCGCAGGAACACTTGGACCAGCAGATTTGCAAAGATGTAGCCAGCAGTAAATTGTCATCGCATGAAACCACTGTGATTAAAATGCTTTGAATCTAGGTTGCCACCGAATGAGACAATCGAGCTATGATAGCTGCTCCAGGCCTTGAGGCAGGAGCTGGGCAGCAGCACAGCAGCTAATACCTGTGCGGTGTGTGGAATGGATTTTGGGTAGTGTTCATGCGGGTAGCTGCCGTGAACAAACAGCCCTGCATCACTTTGAGATTAAAATCGCCCGCCTACACACACTATTATTTAGCGGAGAACATGGGATTGCAAATGTTGGATGGCACTGACCATGCCCATGTCTTAGCCCTGCACCTCCGGGTACGTTGCCGAGCTGGAATGGGGCAGCGGCTGAGGCCTGCCAGAAATGGGGACTGCCTTCATGTCATAATCACTGACTGGAGCTGAGAACTCCAAGCAAATTATCAAATCAAATTCAATGCCAAATTCAATCAATTGCTAGCGCAAGTCTGCCGCCTCAAAGAAAAGGTGCCTGCATGCAGTGGTCACCTTAGAAGTGCCGGCTGAACCAAACTGGTGCTCGACACATGGCTTAACAAGGACTCGAAATCAAAACCTGGTTTAAATGAATTGAATAATTTTTCTGTAGCTGAGTAGCTGTTTCTCCAGTTTAGAATCTCTGCATGGACCACAAGGACCGCAGGACCCGAAAAAGCACTAAGAGAGGCCGGGCCAAGACATTGAGTGGAAAGCAACCGCTTTAAAGACGCACCAGTTTCTGAAATCACCAATGCGCCACATCAACTGCAAAAAGCATTCGAAACATGGGCAGAAGCGGGCAACTTCACACCAAGGGCGCCACTTTGTTGCTCCTAATTTGCCAATCTTGAGCTCTTTCAATGTCTGCACTAAAAGGTCTGATTGCACACAAGAACACAAACAATGGAGTGTCCGGCCATATTGCACGGCCAAACTAGCGAATAATTGATTGCTGCAAGAAGTTCAGCACTTAATTAGAGTGACTTGACAGCAACATGGATGAAGCTGAAATCACTGTGAGGAACGAAGACACTAAATTGACATAAATCAAACAACTGTGTCAGGCGCCCGGTTGGAGTTGCACCAAGAGCAGGCACAGTCTGCATTGAAAGTGGTCTCCCAAGACTTGGACCGTTCTGACAGATCACACAGCAATGCCTGCATGATTTCCTCTGCGTTCCTTACAAGCCTTCTGGCATTTGCGGCTTGTGTTTCAAACTGGCGTTTGGAATTGCAACTTCCAATCTGCACCTTTCTGCAAAAAACTTCCCCCAAGCCTAGGCATGAGAAGCGGTTTTCAATCCTGGAAATGAAAGCTTGTTTCTTGAAGCTGTGTGGCTTCTCCTCAGCCTGAGCCACCATCGCAACCGCCAGCAGCAAAACAAGCCGTAGAAGGCGGCGATGTGATGGGTCCTGCAAACAATGCATCCACATTGGGTGCAATCAAGATGTGACAACACACTTGCAATGCTGACATGGACTTGAACTCAACTGCGAAAGAAATGGCTCCGTTTAATGTTTATCCCTTACACCCTGTTACCCCATGCTTTGCCTCTTCAGCGAAGTCAACCGCAAGGACCGCTGGGACCGCAGGACCTGATGCAGGTGAGCGGGAAGCGAAATGTGTCATAAAGGGTTTCGACTCAAGAACAAGACCATGGCAATATATATATATATAAATAATATAATTTAATATATATTATAGATCTGATATAACTTACATCAGTTATATTAATATGATAATATAATTTCACAACTATTCAACTTATGATTGATTAGTTCATGATTGATTAGTTCATGATAGATGACCATCTGAATTGCGTCTGCTCTCTGTGGGTATGCATCAAGGCTAAAAAATATCTTCTGACTCTGACGATGTTTCCCTATTATGAATTGTCATTTTAGCCAACCAACTATCGCGACAACCTTCCCACTGGTGTGCACCTCTGTGCGCGTTGGATGGCAAGGCCTGGCAGGCAAAAACCGATGAATGATTCAAAACGAAGAAGTAACCCTACTTTCTTTCACGGTCTGACTACAAAGTTGACTGCAAAGCCGCAGCGTACTTTTATCTTGTCGATTTCGTTTGTGGAAGATGGACCGCAGGACCGCTGGACATGCGACTGCAAAATCATGTGGTCGGCAGCGCAATTCCCAGCCCATCCATGTCCAAAAGCATGGTGTAAAGTCCCACAAACAAAAAACACTTGATTCGACTTTGAAACACGGTCATTGATCGAATATGATTTTTTCAACAGGACTGCATCCACCTTGCAAATCTGCACTATCACTGCAGGATCCAAAAATCAAAGACCTCAGTTCAAGTTCCAGGAATCCCAACCGCCATCATTCTGGGGAGGGCGTGGCGGAGCGGGCTTCGCCTGCGCCTGCGCTGGCTGGCCCTGTGCGGCCTGTGGCTGGCCCTGTGCGGCCTGTGGCTGGCCTTGTGGCTGGCCCTGTGGCTGGCCCTGTGTGGGGGTCTGCGCAGCAGGAGCAGCACTGGCAGGTGGAACAGTTGACTGTCCAAAATGCACAGTGCTAGGTGGCCACCACTGTGTCTGTGGCTGAGCTGGGCCCCACTGTTGCTGTGCCTGAGGCGCAGCTTGGCCCCACTGAGCTTGTCCTTGACGTTGGCCCCATCCATCTCCATCACCAGATCCACCAGGTCGGACACCACCACCACGGTTGCCACGACGCTGATGAGCGGTCACAGCATCATCCATGCTGCCACTCTCCCTGAAAGTGCTGAAGCAGTAGTCAGGGCCCCTGTTGCCGCTGTCCATCATGCCAAGATCGAGGCCGCGTGGCCACCGATTGCATCGGGCCAAGTGGACCATGAACGGCCTCCCGCGAGCATCATCCATGCGCGTCAACCTCATGGCTAAGACATTGTTGATGTTCGCATGCCGAGCCACCATCGCACGGTCCTCAGAATGGCTGAATGCAAACATGGTTGAATTTTAAACAATGATACGATCAGAGATATTGGGCCCTGACCGCATTAAATGGACACAACATTTACACAGTCTTTATTCCCAAACCTTAAACTTATTATTAAATAGGGTGCAGCAATACAGCCAGTCCCCACCCCCCCCAAAAAATGAAATGATAAATAAGAACGCTTCAACTTATACTACAAAGCCTCCACTGCCATGCCATCCCAGAGCAAATCAAACTCTTCAGAAGTAGCTCCGGTCCACACCACCGTGACTTCCCTGCGTGATCCTGGCCTGCAATGCCACTCCTCGTCGACAAAGTCCCCCTTGAAGCATTCGCACTGCAGCAGGGTCATTGTCTCAGGTAAACAATGTTTAAATATCAAAACAAATATTCACACACATTCCTGTGATAACATTGGCATGTTTCAAATTTACCAATATTACTGGCCTGCAGTTAAGATAATCAAATAGTATTTTGCAATTTTTGAGCCTTCCATGCTAGCATCAACAAAGAGGAAGTTCGGTTCCATTACCTGTGCTACTGGAAGAAGTTTCTGAATCAGTAACTTTGAATCGGCTTAGTCATTATTTAGTTCTGATTATATTATGTTGAATCACCAATCATTTTAAGTATATGCCATGACTTGCCTTTACATGAGGCGAGACAGATCAGCATTGAACTGCATCTCAAACGATTGTGATTGCGATGATCTTTTTGTGAGGGATATTCAGATTGAAGAGGAAATGGTTTTGGCAGAAGAGAAGATCCAGGAAGAGGGTGGGGAGCAGCAATGAGATTAGCTTTGACCTACATTTGATTAGCCTTAGCAGTGGTGATTGCCCACAAAGCGAACCTTGGAATTTGGGGAAAGGAATGCTGGCTGCTGATTCTGTTTGTGCGGAGATGACCCCAAAGTTTCAAATGGGTACGTGGTACAAGCCTACTACTGAAAAGGAAACCGAATGAATTCCCATCCTGAATATTTTTAATTTTCCACCTGTACTTAAGCAAATCACCTTGTACAGGAGGGGGGCTACCAACCCCCATCCCCTGTGAGGTCCTGAGCGCTCAGGACCTTGTACCTCCTCACCCCAGCGTAGATTGGGGCAGGCCGTTTGACCTTGTAACCCCCTAGTTGGATTTTTTTTCATCTGTAGTTAAGATAGTCACCTCTAGGTGGTACAAGGTCCTGAGCGCTCAGGACCTCACACGGGAGGGGGGCTACGGACCCCCATATGCTGTGAGGTGATTTGCTTAAGTACAGCCTTACAAGAAATATTGGTCACATTATGATGTTCAGCAAATCATCTTATATTGAACAGCTGATTTACCAAATCATTTGAACTAATTATGATTTGTTCATTCATAATTTCATAATATTAATTATATAACATATATTTACACGTTGTTTGAGCAAATTATGATTGAACAATTCATAATTAAACTGGTTGCAATTCAGATTGATGGGCACCAGAAATGGGAACGGATTCTTGTAACAACAGTGACTGATAATTCCTGCTGCTGGGTGACCAGGTCTTCCTTATTACATCGTACTCGGTTGATGGTTCCTCCCACATTGGGTCAAATGACTTGTCATCCTATCAAAATATGATACCATTCATTATGATCCATTATTATTGATGGATTATTTTAGTAAAAAGTAATATCCCACGAATTGAAAAATTGCCATGGGTCAGAGGCTTTTGGGTTTTGGGATTACATTGATAATGGATTATATGGATAAACGCTATAAATCATGTGATTATGGCCGATTTTTTTGGGTTCAAGATCACAACTTCAAAGAAACAAAAAGTACTATTTGACTATGCTAACACCACCCCAGATTATTTACAAATTCAACATCGATCATCATTTCTCATAGTATGTCTGCTGTTGGATTATTATTTAATAAAGTCAAACATGCTTTGGCCCCGGCCTGCAAGACCCAAGTCGGTGTCACGTAGCGGCTCTGTGCCACCTGTGCCTCCTTGTAAGTCAAAACGTAGAACCAACCGCCGCCTTCTGCAGTAACCCACACACTGCGGGCACCGGGGCCAGGAACTGCGCCATAGTTGAAGAATTGGAGGGTTCCACGATCAAGGCGGTGAAGCATGGCCAGGTCTTCGTTCCGCAATGTCTGGCCAGATGTCACAGCATATTGGACCCCCGTCGCCTCCTGCATCTCGCGCACTGTGGCGAACCCACGCAGGAAGAAGCTTTGGCCCAAGATCCTCCTGTTGCCATCCTCAACACTGAGCGCCCCTTCCTCCCCCTGTGCCAAAGCATCCAAGGACCTAGGGGCCACTCGTTGCACCCCAATCTGGGTCCGATCCAAGAAGGCCTCAGCGAACTTCAGGACGTCCCTGCAGTAGAGGGCGACGTGCAACAGGTTGCCCTCTGCAGACATTGGCAATGCCCATCCAGCCCAATCAGCGCCCTGCCATGGTCGAAGAAAACATAGCCGACAAATGATAAATTTCAATGATAACCTGTTTGATAATCAATAAGTTTGATCAGAGTATTGGGAACACCAATTCTTTCAAAAAATCAACAGCCGGCTTCAGCTTTTTGCCCACGCAGTCCCGTTGCTCACGAAGGTTGTACCCCCGCGCAGCTCCGTTCATCATCCAGGGGTAGAGGAGGATGGGGCAATTGAACACGCCACCTGCACCAGCCTCTGCTTCGGTGAACTGCTCAAGAAGCTCTTGGACAGCACCAGCGACCTGGTTGCATGAGCATTGGTGGTTGAAATTTGGGACAATGGAAAACGGACCAATATTGGAAGTCAGCGACCTAACAAACTGGGGGAAATTAGCAATATATGGACCTGGAAGGCAGCAACCAAACAAACTGCAATGATTGTGTACTAAACGTCAAAGAAGGCACCCTGACCCAAATCCGGGGGATGGAGCTCAGGACCGGGATCCTCCGAAGTAGGTCTCGGGCTTGGTCGACCAAGGCGCCATCCGTCAGCTTCAGGTCTCAGTTTGCGGGATAGCGGATGGCACCAATATCATCAACTGCACATCAACTACATTATTTCCGTTTATCAAAAAAAGAGTTGTCATTGAGTTATAGGAAAATGATTGAAAAACGAACCATCATTAATTATAAAGCTTTGCTGGCGAAAATCTGGGACGAGGCACAGGCGCAGATCTCTGACTGCGACTCATGGGTTCTGATGCCGCCCCTGTAAAAGGAGCCAACCACGAAGTTGAACCCGGCCAGAGCCCAGCTAAAGTCGACCCCTGTGTCATACCGGCGGCGGAAGCCAGCCGGAGCCTGGGTCATCGTCACGGAGAACTTCTGGATGTCTTCCTGGCGCAGCATCAGGAGTTCTGCGCTCATGGCGGGCTGCTGGCTCAGAAGAGTGCTGACGCTCTCCACGATCTCGCGCTGCGCCCGCTGGTTGTGGTCAAACGCGGCCTCCACGAGGGGATCTTGGTAGTGGGACCGCTGGGACCGCTGGGCCAAGGACTGCACATCAGCCTCCTCAAGCTCCTGGGCCAAGAAGTCCTCCACATGCTGGGCCTGCTCTTCCTCCAGCGGGGCTGCAGGCTGCAAGGCTTCCGGCTCGCCGATTGGCAGCTCTGGCTGTGCCGCCGGCTGAGCAACTCCTTCCTGATCCGCCATCCTGACTCCACGCGCAATGACCGCAAGGACCGCAGGAACCATGTGACGTCACCAAGCCGAGAGCTTCTTTGGGCAAACAGGGGGCAGCAATGATGGTGTAAATAGCAATTGAGTGGCATTGATCATGGGCTATTTCAGGAATTTTCAGCCAATTTACAATTATTAAAGTCCAAGTTGGCACATCGTTGCTCCCAGTCATCCTGATCCCGGTCAAGGCTGGCCTGCAAAGGGGAGATGTGGCTTGGCACCGCAGAAGGCAACGGCTGGACAGGGCCTGGGCACAGAGCGATGGGTGAACTACTGGACCGTTGGACCCCTGGACTGGTGGAAGAGCAAATGACCTTAAATTGCTATCAAATTAAGCTATGATGTGGAGAAAACTCAAATGTGATACGGAAGCATCATTTGGATGCTCTTTAGCCTCAAATCTGACTGAGGGCAAGACCAAGGAAAGCGATGGCTTTGACTATGCAGTGGTGCTGGAACCAAACTGGCTACTTTAAGGACGCTAGCGAGACACTCACACAAACGGAAAAAAATAAAAAATATGCGAAATGCCAACGTAGATATATATATATATATACATTATACATTGATATACTACATATATATATATATACTGATATACTATAATATACTATATATATATACATATTGATATACTCTCTATATATATATATATATGTAAAATTGCGGTTACATCACATATCCCATTACCCTCTGGTAAATTAACATAGACCCTGCAAATAACCCCAAACATATAGTGGAAAAATAGTGAAAACTAATCTTCCAACCCCTATCTGGCAGGGTCGTCATGCTAATTTTCTGGAGGGTAAGAGGTGGATGAAACCCAACTAGTCAACACTGGGAATAATATGGATATAATGGAATCTTATATTCCCATCATTCCTAATATACATTCACATGGTAATTTACCATTGTAGTCCCATTATTTCCACCCACTATTTTAGGAAACCCATGGAAACCCCGAACTACCCACTGGTTATTTGTTACATAGCCATGGTATAGATGGCCCATAGAATAGATGGTTTACCCATAAAATAGCATGGTGATTTTCCATGGCTATATTAAATAACCGGATGGTATATCAACACAGATTCTGAAGCCACAGATTCAGCACTCTTCGCCGAAGAAGCGAGGCAGTTCAGCAGCTTCGACAAACTTTCCGAGCTGAAAATGCAATGACCTGTGGGCCGACCAATGGATGTCCATAAAAAAAAGGACATATCAAGCATATCAAGCAAACAAAAAGATATTAATGAACATAAATTCGCAGCTCATGTTGAGAATCTAATGGAAAAAAAACAATGGAAATGAACATCTACTGGACATATCAATGTAAAATATATAATGGAAAAGACCTGTTCATATCCATGAACAAATGCACACATGTAAAACCACATGAATACAGAATGTTCATACATGTTCCGTAACATTCATTTGACTCTTACTTGTCTATCTTGCGGTTGGCAAAAACCAGTGTATTTTTGTCATGAAGAACTGTGTCTCGACCTGCTGAGGGGGACCGGCCAAGCAGTATGATCAATACCCTCTGGTGATTTGAGGCTTTGCGAACTGGTAAGCACCTTTTGTAAAAGGTAAATAATCGTTTTTTTTCCATTAAACTAACTAAATGGTATTTCTTTTTGACAGAAATAGGTATCCCGAAAATCCACTGCTGAACCATCATTCTACTTATTATTATGATTATGATCATCATTATCATGGCAATAAAAACATGGGAGAATTGCCCCATTTCAGACGCACAGAAATGTTTGGCCAGTAATTTCAATGTTACGAATCACCCTCCAGTAAATTCACATGAGCAATGGCCCGAAAATATACATGTTCCATCCCATTAATTATACTGATTGGTCAATGGACATATCTATTGTGAGATATAATAATCCCCAATCAACTAGGTAGCAACCCCCTCGTAATGACGAATCAACAAGGGTACTGGTACGTCACGGTATGTCCAATGGAAACATGGAAAGCCAAACCTTCTACCACGACGACCGAATACTCCTTCCTTAGCAAGGCCGCGCAAGTGCGGAAAGAATGCAGTTTCTGCTGATAACCAGTGGTATCATGATAAACAAATGGCGATTTACATAAGCAACAAACAGCATGTTTTGGGATATACAGTCAGGAAAAATATACTCAGATACATATGCTGTACACTTTTATATATATATTGTAAATATAATATGTATATATATAACCAGCGGTAGATGAGTAATTATGATGGGTTGGTATTTCCTGGGGTTTCTTAAAATGGGAGTTTCCCCAATCCAAGTTCTGGATCAGTTTCAATAAGGGAAAACGGGATAGGGGCAGTGGCACATGTTGTGTACACAGCTGATGTTTTTGGACAGACCTACTGGGAAAATGGGCCAAATCTTTTACATCATAGGGCCTTTTTTCATGTTTTGGCCCATTGGAAACGTGAGTAAAGAAATTGTAAATGGGCCATCTTATGAAAATCATCCTACATCCAATTCTTTTACAACATCTTATGGAAATTTACTGGTTGGTGGTATACCTACTCCTCTGAAAAATATGACTTCGTCAGTGATTATGATTCATTCCCAACTGAATGGAAAGTCATAATCCATTCATGTTCCAAACCACCAACCAGTTTATCATGTTTCTTTTCTTCATACCTTTAAGTTGGGCTTCCGCGTTCCATTTTCGAAGCCTTCATCCCATTCATCCTGTTCATTGGGATGACAGTGATCCATAGCCATCGCTGGTATCAATGGATTGGTTTTGTTGGGAAAATCTTAACCGGAAACCATGGCTTTTACATGTTTTTACCATGTGAAATATCGGGCTTTCCGGTGTCAATTTTCCCATCATCCAATTCCTTGATGGTAACTCCTCGATGTACAGCCATATGACCAAACTGCAGTTTGAGGGAATTTTGTTGGAAAATTATATGAAATTGCCGTCCCAGAGACAATGAGCCGTTAGCAAGTTGCCAGCTGCTCATGGCATGTCCAAGGTGAAGTACTCACTATAAAGTAATAAATATATATGTGGGGGTTTCTATAGGGGGGATCCCCAAAATGGATCATCAAAATATTGGAACATCCGAAAATAACATGGATGATCCTATACTGTGTACACCACCAATTTAGGATACCCTCTGGTAAACTAACACAAAACTATGGAAAATCACCATGTTTAATAGGTAAATCAAATCAACTATTTCTATGGCAATTTTCAATAGCAAACTGTTAGTTTACCAGAGGGTATCAAATATTCATCCAATTATCAATATCTATCCACATTATCCACATTATCTGGTTAGTTTACCAATAGCAAACTGTTAGTTTACCAGAGGGCAAATTTCCATAGCAATACATCTTGCAGTGTGTTTCTTGCGGCCCAGTTTCATCGCCTCCTCTATCGCCTCAAAAAAGTCCCCGTGGGGGCCCCCGGGCACACATAGGGCGGCTCTTAATGGGGTAAAGCCACATGGCAATCTGTAAGAATGATGAAACAATATATCAAAGATGCTGACAATATTTGTAGATATTCATAGCTAAAATATGCTGATTGACCTGAAGATGGCATGTGGTTTTCCCCTCAAAATTGACCTAACAAAGCCACATTGATCCTTGGATTTTTAGTGGGGGAAGGGTGGTGCACCAGAATTGGATATCATATCATAGCTTGTTCACCAAAAATGACTGGTACATGCTGGTGAAAACCAGGCAAACATGTGCCAAGTAAAAACATCTTCCGCTCCAAGGGTGGGGTGCAAACCGTGGTACACTACTCAACATCCGAAGAATGAGCAGGAAAAAAACATCCACCAACAAAAAGCCTTCACGGCATGCAGTTTTGAACTCCGTCCCGTCCAGCATGGTTTGGTCAAGATTAACAAAATTTGATGTTACCCTTCAGACATCCATTAAGATCCTCTATCTGCGCCTCAATATCCAGCCAATCTATCACCCATCACTCTAAAACTTGTGAAATCAGATAGCCTCCTGGGTAATCAACCGTGGCTGGCTGGGAAATGCTATTTTTTCGAGGCTTTGAGCGGGACGAACATCGCAATACATGGAGGCGCCATGGGTAATCATAGGGACACCATGGGACACCTTTCTGTGTTCCGGCCAAAGGACTGTCTCCATGCTGGTCCAATCTGTAGAATCGGGCGATTCCCAATAGGAAAGCCTTGGATTCCCCATGACATCGGAAATGGTTTGGTCCTGGGTCTTCTTGGTATCAACTTGGAGGTTACCCGGCCTGGTAAACTAACACTTTGCGACATTGAAGCCATGGCCATAGAAATAGTTGAATTACCTATTAAAAATGGTGATTTTCCATAGTTTTTTGTATGTTTACCAGTGATTTATCATCCAAGCTTCAGAGCTTCAGTGATCTCTTCCATTCAATTTGTCTTGTTTCAAGACAGTCATACGGTCATACGAGTCATACCTGCTTGATCACCATCAAACCCCAGGAACTCAACCTGAGGAACCACACAGGGCATTACCAAATTAGAAATCACATAGCATCACATACCCTCCAGGAAACTAACATAGATATAGAAAATCACAATCTTTAATGGGTAAATCAATTATAAATGGCCATTTTCAATAGCTATGTTAGTGAACAGAGGGTAAGACTAAGACTCGTGTTTGAGGTTCCAAATCGACTGTCAGGTGCAAACTCATGTTGTATGGAACAAGTGGTCCAAGAATTAGGCTTTCTCAAAAACACAATGTGTCAAATACTGACTGGCTTTGTCTGAACAGAGGGTACGCTTAAAATATCCAACAGGATTATCATCATTATCCAATTTCAATTGCCATAACTGGGAGTATGCTCCATTTCCAAACACACCCACATGTCATATTGATTTTATCTCACCATTTTTCTCGATGGCCATGTTGCTGCTTCATACCCCATTTTCAGACACCCATGAAAGAAACAACGCGGCCAGTTCGGAAAGGCACCAT